TCTATGGATCCCAATCAGCGTATGAACAAGAATGTAAGTCAAATGAGGATGATGAACAAAATAAAAGATTATGAAATTGGGTTCTTCGAAGATAATGAAGAATGCAAAGATCAATTGCACAATATATTGTAGTAGCAGAGACAACAATTTTATAGATAACATGAACAACATAAGCAATATCAGATATGGTAATCGTAAAATATAACAGACGTCCAACCCAAGTATGATACGAAGTGAGATGTCGTAGAGGAACAACATCAGTGAGCTTATATTTCACATTTAATTCAAGAGGACTATTTGATGCTCTAGTATAAAAAATGTTCGTAATATAATTGGATAGAGAGAGATGGTAGCCACTAAAAGGATATAAACTTCAATTCCGAAAAAAGTAGTAAAGAGTACATAAGTCCTTCATCTCAAATTGTTTGACTAATTGATTTCAAATCATCAATCTCATCAACATCATCACCTATGTAAAAATCATATCATTGATATATATAATGAGAGTAAAATACATTAATGAGAGGTGGTCTTGAAAACCAAATATGAATCATGATCATTAGAGTAAAAACTAAGATATGCAATAACACTAGTAAAGTTCTCAAACAAACTTCGTGGAACTTGTTTCAAACTATATAGAACTTTTTTTTAACTTATACACTTGATTATGAGAAACACCTAGTGGAGTTACCATATAAACTCTTTTGTCCAGAACTTCAATTAAAAACATATTTTTAACATCTATTTGAGAAATATGTAATTGAAGAACAGATGAAACAACAAAAATAGTATGAATAATTGTCATGTTAGCTATTGGAGAAAATGATTTATTCATAACATATATCATATTGTTGAGAGAATCTCTTAGCAATAAGATGTGCATTGTAGCACAAAGCCCCCCTCCCCATCAGACATATTTTTAATTTTTTATACTCTATGAGACCTAATAACACCTTTTTTTAGGAGGAATACATAATAACTCACAAGTATTTGTCTTTTGCTTAGCATTTTTCTTTTCATAACATGCTTTCAAAGAAAGTAAAAAAATAACATCTTTATAGGAAGATGACTTATAAAAACCGAATTGAGGTTAAAATATATGGAAAAAGGAGTAAAGTAAATTGAATAACAAATATTAGACAATTGAGAGAGAGAAGAGAGAGAGAAGTTGTATCAGGAATAGAAAAAATATCAATTCTACGGTTCTGAACTATGAGTATTATGATAGTTTGAGAAAAGAGAGTAAACAAAAATGTGTTTGAAAAATAGAACATGATGAAAAACATACAATTTTATTACTTAAGGATCATACCAATGATAGTTTTTTATCATCCCCACAACCAAGAAAAACACTTGTGACCGAACAAGAAGTTAACTTACTTATGTTCTACTTATGGAAAAATAAAATCATATAATTTATTGAAAGGAGACAAATCTGGTGTGACTGAAGACGAAATTACATTAATAGCATGAGCAATAGTAAGAAGTATTTCACCCTAAAACTCTTTGAAAACTCAAGAAGGCAATAAAAGGGGACAAGATCTCAACAATATGAGGACGATGTTTTATTTCAACAGCTCGGTTCTATTCAAAAATACTAATACAAAATATATGGTGAATTATACCATCATATGCAAGTAATTCATAGAATTTATTAAGGTATATTCACCACTTAAATTACCACAGAAGTAACAATATTATTTTGAGTCTTAACCATTGCACAAATCGTATGATAAATTTTAAAAAAAAAAATCCAAAACAATTTTTTAAAAGGTAAATCCAACAATAACAAGTATACTTATCAATAAATTAAACATAATATTTAGATCTACCTTTGGAAGGAACCATTGATGAACCCCACACTTCATAGTGAATTAAATCAAAGGGTGCATATGAATTAGAGACTAATACTTATCTTTTCTTCAATTGTTCTAAGATTGTCTTGCTGTGGCGAAATGTTTTTGATTGGGTGAATATTGATTGGATCGGAGAAACGTATTGTTACGATCATGCTAACGTTTGGTTTATTAGGCTTAATGGGAGATGTAAGAACCAATTAAGGAATTCCATTTGGTTTATCACTTGTTACAACATTTGGATGGCTAGGAATCGTATAATGTTCAAAGACGAGGTGGGGATGCCAAAGCTATTTTTCATCGCATAGTTGGTTCTTCGTGGAATTGGTTGGCTTTAGGAAGAAACTGGCACATGTCCTATACTTTATACGATTGGTACAAATTTCTTTTACACTTTTGTAATTAATTGTGGATGTTAATCCTTGTTTGTAGGTTGTTGGATTCTTTGTATTTGGCTTGGGTTGGAGATACCCTTTATCTCCTCTTATTGAATTTTAGGCTTATCAAAAAAAAAAAAATAGAAACATTTTAATTAAAAGGTAAAGCCAACAATTTAGAAAATCTACAACCTTATTAATTTCAGATATTACTAGTCTGTAAATTTCTTAAAGCTCAAGTAGAAGCTAAATATTTAAATCTAGACGAATATACATGTCCTAGACATAAATTCAATAAATAAAAATTCTAAGACTTAGAATTCAAACAAACAAAGCTAATAAACAAGCAATGGAAGTTAAGGCTAATAGTTGAGACTCTAAGCTTATCCAAAATATTAAATTCCCTTGTCTACAAGCTGTTCTAATCAGCCTCCCAAAATATAGATAATGCACACAACAAAAAGTGGAAGAATATGTAACAAAACAACCACGATTACATAATTGTCTAAAAGAAGCAAAACTCAAAGTAATGTTAGAAATATAATACACATAAGAAAATGACATATTATTTGTAGAGACATAACAAACGCTTCTTAATGACATATGAGTGTCACGAGCAGTCATAATCAACATGTTTTTTGGCAGTCGAATTGGATTGGTGATACGCCGCTCAAAATCAGATTCCATCCTCTGTTCCAGGCCTGCAGATGTAAGGCGTCGTCCGTTAGCGAGATGGGAGAGTGGGACGGTGAGCTGTGGCGCTGGAACCTGCTTAAATCGATGGATTCTGCAGGAACTCTTCCTGAACCAGACTGGAGTGAATGCTGCAAGTTGCTGGAAAATGTCTCTGTTAATAACGAAGTGTTTGATGAGTGGCAGTGGTTGCTTCACGACTCTATGTCGTTTACGGTTAATTTTTTTTATTCTTCCTTGATTTCTTCTTCCTCTGTCAACGATATTGAAGATGATCGTGCAGCTCATTTGAAGTTATTATGGAAGACGGTCATTCCGGCGAAAGTTCAAATTTTCAGTTGGAGGACACTCGATAGATTGCCCACAAAATCGAATTTATTGGATAGAAGGGTTATAGATAATGTTCACGATATGGTTTGTGTGTTTTGTTTCTGGCAATTAGAGGACGCTTCTCATTTATTCTTCTCGTGCATCAAATCTTCTTTGGTTTAGAATAAGATTCGTGTGTAGGCGGATATAGGTAGTATATGGGAATCTTGTTGTAGTCTCCATGCGAAGGTTTGGTACTCGAGTCTTAGAGGCCGTTGTCTAGCGGAAAAGATTAATTCTATTTGGTTCATAACTTGTTGGAATATTTGGAGGGCTAAAAATAATATATTGTTCAATAACGTTTTGTTTGATGTTGATGAGATTGTCTATGATATTAAACTCACTTCGTAGAATTGGTTGATTCTAGGTAAAAAGAAAGAGTAAGAAGTGTAGGTTGTATGATTGGTTTAAGTTTCCGTTTAATTTTTGTAATTGACTTGTTTCTTTTGACGGTTGTAGCTAGTTGGTTTGAGATTTTCTTAATCTCTTATTAACGAATTTGCTTATAAAAAAAAAAAACATAGATGAAACATGATTTAAAGACACAAATAATTTATCATCATTATATGTATGATGTGATGCTTTAGAGTCTAAGAGTTCATATGAAAGAAGACATACCGGTAAAACTAAAAAAGTTCAAACCTTTAACAAATGATGAGGCAGACTGACACGTGCCTGAATGGTAAAAAATTTCTGAAGCTGCTCTAAAATATCAAATATTTGAGAAGTTGTCTATGATGGGGATACATGAATTGAACCAAAATCAATGGTAGTAGAAGTCGAAACAAAAACATTGAATGATGGTCTATTAAAATTCTTCTTATTTTCTCTTATAAATTTAAAACACAATGACTTTCAATGATTTTTTTAGTGGCAAAAGCACATTCGTCAATACCAATTAAAATTCTTCCTTGAGATTATCCTTTCTGAATAGGAGTGGCAGAAATAAATGGAGGTGGAAGAGTATAAAAAGTTTATTTATTGAAAATCAGATTAGATTGAGACTTGAGTCTGATTCTTCTAAATTAACGTTGGAAAAAAGAGTGTGATTTAGAATACTCATACTAAGACTCTCAATATCATTCAGAAGGATCGTTAGAAATTGAATGAGATGCTGCTTGTCTCTCTGGTTTGTGTATACTTTGCCAAATTTTATTAATTTGATTCTATAATAGTCAATTGATTCCATAAATTAATAATGACCAAATAAAACTCTTGACTTAAGTCAATGAGAATCAACCGAAAAAATCAGGAAACAAAACAGAATAAGATGAAGCACTGTAAGAACTCAGAGAGAGTAAGTGGAAAAAACCATGCAATGGTTTCATGAAGATAAACTCAGACACAAATCTCTTTTAGGAGGGTTACAGGTGTAATAACATGGTGATTCGTGACGATACCGATGATTTCTTTATTTATACATTCATGAAACATCATAATAACATTATATAAACTACACAATATAGATCCGTTAAGTCAACTCAGTTTAACTACATAGACACGGATTCAAACATGTGACACTACAGTTATTCACTTTGAAGAAGTGAAATTTCAGTTACTAAACTATAGGACTGATAAAAACTACACGGTACATATTTAGTGGTTAATTGTGATTTTAGAAACTCACAATGATACCAAATATAGTATAGCCACACACACGTAATAAATATGGTAACTTAGATTTGAAACTCAAAGGGATGCATAGTTATTTCTTTGACTTCTTTCCAAACCCTTGGTCAAGAAGATAATCAACTAGATTGTCAATTTCTTCACCATTAATTTGACCATCTTTGTCGGCATCAAGTTTCTTGAGACAATTACTTGCTCTCCATCCAGGGATGTATGACCCTAAATCTTTTAGAGCTTTCTTGATCTCACCCTTTGTATAACAACCATCTTTATTCACATCTGCATCTATCAGTATTTGCATTATTTTGTTTCCAGCATCGATTTCATCTTGAGACATGACCTTCCGTTTGTCAGAACGATAGAACACAGGCATATTCAAATGATAATTATTGATCTTCTCACTCTCAAGTGTATAAGTATGTATGAAATGGATGACTATGGTTTTCAGTGAGGAGGGGGTTAAATAGAAGGCACAATGGGTTTGTTGTGGTGAAGTTCGGACTTCAAATTTGATATTTTTAACTAGTTAATTCTTTAAGTGACACATTCTAAATTTATCTCTCTCAAAATTAAAGTTCCAAAATAAATTTATATATATATATATATATATATATATATATATATATATATATATATATATATATATATATATATATATATATATATATATATATATATATATATATATATATATATATATATATATATATATATATATATATATTAGATTTGTGTGTGTAAGGATCAATTTATTAAAGGAGTACTTTTTTAGTTTACTTTAAATTATAGCTTTTAAATTGAATTTAATCTAATGGTTAATTAAGTAAAAAAATAATTTAAATAATAGATTTTTTTTGTCAAAGTAGGTTTTATTTCAAAAATAAAAAATAAAAAATGTGTGTATGTAATTAATTTAATATCATAAGTATTTTTTTAACCTTCTACTTCAACATTAATTATTGTGTAAGAATATTATATTATCGTGCTTTTGACTCTAGAATTTTCATTTATTCATTTTAAAAGATGAGATTATAAATATACAATTATTAATTAAAAAAACATAATCGAGATTCTAAACTAGACATTAGAATAATTGGATAATGGATAGAGTCAATGATAAGCCAATTTTAACCATTCAAAAATGAGAATAAAATCAATTCTAAAGATGCTATATTTTTTAATTGAAAAGATCATGTTTACCCAATAGTAGGGAATATAAAAGTGGCTTTTTGATGTAGGTTTTGGAAAAGCATATAGTAAGATTTCTTTAGAAAGAAAAGCATATATATATGCTTCACAAGATAAAGACTAAGCATATATAAGCTTTTCAGAGATATCAAGCATATTAAGATTTTTTTATACTTTAAAATGGAGATATTATTTGTGTGTTGGAGATTAGGAGTAATAAGTATTAAGCCTATTAGATAATAATTTTAATATGTTTTTGGCCTAAAGCCACTTTTTACAATTATGCATTTTTAAAAGTTATAGTATATTTTTAGTAAATGTCCTACGCTCTAGTTTTATTGTTTTAGAACTTTTTCAAAATTCTATAAAAAAGAGAAAACAATAATTAAAGAGATAAAAAAAAAGTAGAAACACACTTAAAAGTTGAAACGGGTGTTGTAACCATTATTCATTTTAATGACAACTTGATTTTTCAATTTTCTTCTCAAAATTTTGAAAAATATAGACTAAAATTGAGTTTTTCATCTTTATTTGAAGCTACAGGGATCCCATTTTTTATCTTTCTTCTTTGCATCATTTAAAGTTGTTGAAAATTTGAATGTCATTTGAACTTCAATCTTTTTCCATATGAAGATCAAATTCAATTAAGGAATCACCAAATTCTCGATGTTCCGTCTCACGAAAAATTTCTTCTTGGACATCTTTTTCCATTTCTTTTAATAAGCATTTTTAGCAATTTATGTCTTCTAAGTTTTTATACTTTTTAATTTTTTTGTCCCTTTCCAAGATGCGTTGATGAAATAGATGAGCAAGTCGAAAAGGATAAAATGGCTAAAAAAATTAATTCAATAATATGAAAATGACTATCTCTACAAAAATCTTACTTTTAGTGGTTCACGATATACATAATTATTTAAGTGCTTACAAATTTGTCAAAGAAATCTAGGATGCTTTGAAAAAGAAACGTGACCCTGAAGATGTCATTTGGAAATATATGTTGGCAGATTTTCATAGGTCGCTTAGGTTTATTACCAAATTTAAGCCTGTGTTTTTTCTGAGCATTTTGTACTAAATTTTACAAAAATGCACATTGAAAAGTTTTATGTTCAAGAAAATAATGATATTTACAAAAGTCTTTTTTCTTCTTTTGTTTTATTTGTAGCATTTTTAGGCCTTTTGACACTATGATTTAACAATCGACAACTAAAAGATCAATAATTTCATCACATTTAGTTACATCAAAAGTATAAATTTTTGTAACAAAATTTTCATTTCTATTTGGTACGACGAGATTTTTTTCATTTGAAATCCTTAAAACTTTAGAAACATATGGAGACCCAAACTTTAATTCTTCCATATTAATTACCTCATTTTCTTAGACAAATTGAAAAACTACGTCGAGTTCTTGATTACTATCATTTATTTATATATAGGAAATCTTTTCCTTCATAGGGTGTCAATTTGATCTAGTCTTCTTTGCCTTCATGAACTTTTAATTGAGCCATATTCCTTTAGTATTGTGTATCCAACTTCTTTCTAATGGAATAATCTAAACCACCTACAGTCATTCTGACTAACTCATATTCATGGAAATTGAGTAAAACACTTTTACTTCATCAACCTAACCTATTAAGATAATTGTCTATCGATTTAGACAATTTCGCTTCACACTTGTTAACTCTTTTAGGCTAATTTTCGACTTACCCATATAAAACTACTCATGGAGCACACTTTCTAGCTAATTCCAATGACGATTGAATTTGGAGGAAGAGTAGTGGACCATGTGAAATAATTTTTGGTTAAAGAATTACGAAAATATTTCATCTTTAGATTTTCATTATTATCCAAATCACCGGCTTCTGACTAGTATCCAGCAATATGTTTTACGGTGGACTCACTAGTATTGCTTGCAAACGTAGTAAACTTAGGAACTTTCATACCCCCTGAGAAGTTTGGTTTGCAATACATATTAAGATAAGGTAGGAATGAAATTTGGCGTATGAAGACCAACATTAAGACCATTTTGGGCTAGGATTTGTTCAACCATATTAGCCATGTTATTTTACCCCCCAATTTTTTTGTTGGACTCTCCTAACCACTTGATCGTATATTGGTTCTTGTTCACCAACACCAAATCCAGGGCATTTCGACCTAAGTCTTCTTTGATTACCTTAGGTATAGGTTGTTCGACCAGTCGAGGCATCACCCGTTGTTGCATTTCATTATTAGGAACCCCTACATTATTTGCAACTCCTGGATTTTGGATTTTCACAAATCCTTGGATTTGAGAAAATAGTTGAATGAGGTTTTGAGGAGCACTAAAGAAATTATCAATTATACCCATTTGATGTGCTAATTGTTGGTAACTAATATTGGTATTTTGGATTAGAGGATTGAACACAGTACCAATTTGTTGGGTAATAATGTTAACCATATCATGGTTACTGTCATCCATCTATTGCCTTACAACTAAGAGAGAACTAGTATTTAAAGGTTATATCAATTGAGAGATATATCTTAATCCTCTATGGGGTTGACCCACTCGACTATGATTTTTTATAGCAGATCCCAATGCCATGTCTTGTTTAATAGAATAGGCAAAAACCTTTGCATCATTTTCATACATAAACACGTTAGTTTGTAGGCATGCCATCAATGCAGTTGGCATGTCATAGGAATATTCCCTACCACCAGGGGGAAGCGTGAAGCCTACAGGGAATGAAGGTCGAGTATCTTTTATAGTAGTTTGTGTAACTGTTGATGCGGTAGAGCAGCAAGCAAAAAATGTTAAGTACCCAGTTTTGTCGTCTCCACAGGGATTAGTGCGATCTGAACGCCGTTCAACGACCTCTACATTTCTAAGCTTATTGTTCAAAAGATTTGGTTTAAAAGGTTCAAAGAACCATAGATAAAAACAGAAAATATAAAATAAAGACTGAAATATAAACGGAGCCTTGTTGGGATTGGATTTCATCAATTGATAACACATGCATTCTTCAGATCAAATTAAACACAATGCAATCATTCGTCTAATATCATCACGTATCACTCACGATAAAGCTTATCTCTAACGCGGCGTCGAGAGAAAAACCATGTTGTCTCATTGGAGATCTCTCACCCAACAAAAACACAACACAAAGCAATAAGATCTGATACTCACGCAAATGCTAAGCCTAAATCTATCTCTAGCGTTTAGAACCTAACAGGCAATCATCCTAGATCCAGATCTGAAAAGTGTATCTCTATCACGATTCAAATCAAAGATTAACAGGTAAACAAGAATGAAACCCATATCAGATAAATAATTATTTTGCATAAAATACAATGATCAAAATACGTACACACGCTTAACCCTTTTTACATGTATTCATCTAATCCGCCAAATGGTTGTGAACATCATTCTTCATCACTATTATCACATACCCACACAATATCATATTGATCCTACCCATGCTAGCCATGCTACTTAATCAACATAACACCATAGAAGATAAAATGAATATCAACTTCAAAACCATGTCAAAAGTTTGTTCATTGATAGAAGAAGATTTGAGATCAAAGATGTGAAAAGGTTTTGTCAAGACTCACAAATACATAATCAAAGATATTCAATCAATAGAGAATCCAAAATAAGTTCACAAACATATATTAGATGAAATACATAAGGTATCAAAAGATTACAATCCAAACCCCAACAAGAGATTAAAGATCTTACCTCCCCCCCCTTGGGGTTTTGTGTTTCTCTCTCTAAAGAAATGAAGAGAGATAAGTTCTGATGTTCCAAAATGTTACAAAATGAAGTTATGTCCCAAAAATGGAGTTATCACCTAAAAATACAAGAAAATGACTTAAATACACGTTTTGGTTCTGTCACGTTCGCTAGGCGAACAGCTAGCGAACGCGAACTTTTGGCACTTTCAGATCTGTTCAATTCTGGGCTCGTTCGCTACCTGCTCGCTAGGCGAGCTGCTAGCGAGCTGACATCATTTTGCTACTGGAAGTGTTCGCTGGAGACTCGCTGCGCCTTCGCCTAGCGAGTGCTTCGCTATCTTTCCTCGCTGCATCTTCGCCTAGCGAGCTTGCTGTTTGTTTGCTTGTTTTCTTGGTTCCTTTGCCCATTTCTCGTGTCTTACTTTTCCATTTGTTTTGTGCCTGATTCCTGCACAATAGCACACAAATCAAAGG